GGAAGTTAAAAATTAGGACTTCCACCTAAAATTGTAGTCTTTAACTTGCAATATTGCTAATACCTTTCACTTCGTAAATTTAAAAAAAAACTGCTTTTCTTCTTTATGCACTGAATCACATCTAGTCAATATTGATGGATTGCACCCCAGTAGATACTACTTCTGGCTGCCCACTGAGCTTGGACTGCTAAAATAAAAATAACAGTGACTATAAAACTTTAGAAATCAATAGTAAATTGCAGGAGAAAAACATACAAATAAATAGCAGCAAATTTAGAAATGGAAACAGAAGTAACTATTTGGTGTTTGCCCAGGACAACTTCACCAAGATTATGAAAATAAAATGTCTCATTTCTGGCTGATATAGGACTTGTTGGTTTTTGATACTATTGAGAGGCTTATTGTACGAATTGCTACTAAGAATAAATGAAGTCAGTATATAATAAAACAATTGTTGGTAACAGTTGCAGACATTGTAAAATAAGATAAACTCCCGAAATACAATTTAGGGATTAATTTCATGGGCTCTTTATAAAATTGCTGAACGTCTCTATTCGCTCAAGAATGTTTTATTACTTGTATTCCTTTGTAGCTATACAATTCACTAAGAATTTTATAAACAGTTGCTATAACTTATGTTGTGATCACACTGAGACACCAATAAATCTGCCAACAGATCAGTAATTCTGATATCTGATAAAATCCAGTGGGTTTTAACAACATGGCTATTTTACTTGGAAGAAACACCACACACACACACAGACACACAGACACACAGACACACACACACACACACACACACACACACACACACACACACACACACACACAAATGCCTGCAGAAACTGGTTGAACAGCTAAAGTAAATGTGGGAAGTAAGCAATGATAATATGGTTACTTTGTTGATGTGGCATAAAAGCCAACTGTGTGCGACATAATTCATCTTTTTCATGTCATATTATTAAGAGATGTTTATTCCCACAACTACTTACCATAATATATTTACTCTAAGTGACTTAAGTGTAAATTCACCTAAACTACAAAATAAAAGAGATGTAAACATATCCCACCTTATTGTGGTATAAATAATTTTTATGAATTCAAAACTACTTTGGCAACCTTACTATCAGAATATCTTAAATATTCAAAACACAGGTATTAAATAGAACATTGTTAAAAATTCTTCTTTCTTTCTCCCTTCCTGATTAGATTATAAAATAAGTAATGCTTTAATTCTACTACATGTTCACATTATGAACATAAATTATTTGATTATAACTTGACATATATCCTAAATCCTAGTTCTATGTCTTAAGTGCTTTTAAAAAATTAGTCTTCTAGTTTACATTTCAGAATGTTTTTGTACTGCATGTGTTATCAGCCTAAACACTTCACAAAAGCTTATGTTCTATCAGAGAAGCATAACTAGCAAACTGAGTCAGGGTCCTAATTAGGATCACCTTTTAAAGCCTACTTATTTTCTAAATTAAGTGACATCTTCTAAGATCATAGTTATTAAGTGAAAACACTGCCTGAGTATAATTCTTGAGCTGAAACAGACTAAAATTCACAAGAATTTATGATCTATTCATATATGTTGCCTAAAATAATGGAGAAGGTGAGATTAGATAAAATCATTCAAGTTCCTTTCAGCTCTCAAGTTAAGAGTATTTCTAGTGGAGACAGAAGACTTTCACTCAAATACCTGATTAGACCTGACCAGACCTGCCAGCAGATTATAAACAACTCTATAGTTAAAATAACCCTTTACCTCTGTTTGTTACCATTAGCCTTTATGAAACACACAAATATATATAAACACACAAAAGTGTACATAGTAGTACTTGAAACCTTCAAGCAACTGTCTTAATGGCTTATCATACCTTCTTAAGTTTGAAGTCAGTTTTTATATATAAATTTTCTCTTTACCCTTAATCAAAATGAGCAACGCCTCCCCCCTCCCCCCACTTGTGCTAGCAGGCCACACGAAGAAAATTATTTCTTAAGCTGTTTACTCTGCCTCTATTTTGAATGGATGTACTCATTTAACAAATACCACCAATTCTTCTTGTGAATGTAAAGTCTATTCCAAAATATTCCTCATGCTATGTACACAGTGCTGACACAAATCTGATGCTCAACAAAATCTGAAATGAACATGGTAAAACCACCTTAAATCAGAGAGGAAAGGTTTTCATAAACATTTATCATTTACAAAGCCCCTTGATTCACCAATATCTATTTCCACTTGTGAGAAGAACAGTAGCATTGATTTCTCTGCGGGTGGGGGGAGTGGGAGAGCAGAGGAGTTAACTGGAGGAAAGGGAGAGCAGTTCAGATACAAGAAATTTGACATTTTTATTACACAGTATTACATGGATATGAATGGAAAATCTAGACCTACTTGGCATATTAAAGCTGGGATTATTCCTAGAACCCTATTTAGATTGATGAACAGGTTAAAAATTCTTAGGTGTAACGGATACAGTCTGATTTGTTGGGTGAACACAGAAGCATAATTAGCATATCCATTTTAAGAAGCTCTGAAGGATAATTTGTTTTAAGATCCTAATAAATATGCCTTTAAAAAAGGATCTTTTCTGTACATAAAAATACTGACAGAGGGTAGCTCCCAGATGAAAAATCCATATATGAGAAATTTAAATGTAACTCTAGACTTCTAATATTTACCACTTAAAGACTGGAATTAATCATTTTAAAAGGCAGCAGTACTCACTGCCAACAAAATTAGAGTTTATCTCAGAAGTGTAAACACACCTGTAAGTTAAAGAACATGCCAACCATGACATTTATCTGTTCCTATCTATACAACTGCATTTTTTTTATCTTTTTAATCTATGGTTGTCATATTCTGTCCACACAGAATAGATTTTCATTTTAATTCAGATTAAAAACATCTGTCAAACAGCTATTAATTATGTAGACCCTCAACATGATTTTACTTGTTCACTTCTTGATTTATCATTATGTCATATAGCAGCCTAAATTATATTTATCTGTTGGTAGAAAATGGAATGTTCAAATAAGACTCTAGTTAGTTACTAATTTATACTGTCTTGGCTGTGAAATCCAGGGATAGGAGAATTTCTCTTTGACATAAAGGTTATGTTTACTTTTCTCTTAAAAAATTAAAATATTTGAATATAATAATTTATTTGGTATCTTGGTTATCAATGTTTAGGACTTAATTTCCTAAAATGTATTATTATGGGTTCTGATTATCTGAAATAACATCACTTTGATTACACTGAAGATTTTTAAATGTGTATTTGTCCCCTCATACTGAACGGCATTTCACAATATCTACCATTCAAACTCTAAGTTTTATCAAGACTATACAGAAGCATTCAGAAACCATTAGTAAATGAATATTTTGACCACAATCCATATAAAACAAGTGTGTAATATAACATTTCAATAGGTGAGCAAATTTCCACTTATATTAAAACTGGGCAATTTTAAAGTTCTATCTCTCTGTAGACTTAAAAAAAAAGTCCTGAAGAGGAAAGGATACACATCCTTACAGGGAACCAGAGCCTCCATCAGGCTGACAAGCAAAACTCTCTGTATTAACATGCTTATAACTTAGTAAGTATATATAAACTGGGGTAATTTAATTGTATACAAATATGACAATAAACCCTCAATGCAGTTATTGAGGGATTGCCTTTAGAAATAAGTCAAAAACGTTTCATTCCTCGTTCGAAGCATCCCAACCAACAGACTGGTGTGAACAAAGCTTGATATGAACCGAAATAAATGCTTTAAGAATAATAATTTAGACAGTGATAGAAATAAATCACAACGAATTGCTCTAACTTTAGCTGAAAATATCAATATGTTTAACTTTAATATGCATATTAGGTGCCATTTCTAAAGTTAGGGATAAAATAAAGAGAAAATTTGAATAATAAAGCATCTTTTAACTTGAGCTGCTCAACTGTAACCCTTGTCCCTCAGGAAAGGAATGTGCAGATTTTCAATAATTCCATAGCAGCAGAACGCTCACTCAGTAGAACACAATTTATCTTTGCTTCTTGTGGCAAAATACAGGAATTGAGTAAGAAATAAAATTTCCATACCCTTCTTTGCGTAACTCTTCATACAAGAAGCTGTTTTTTTTTAAATGCAAACTGATTCAAAATGCATAAAAATGTAAATGTACAATATACACACATACCTCCTAGTGGGGTCAAATGAGTGCCTTTTCATTAGACATACAAAGACGTCTCAAGGCACTTAAGGGCTTAAGACACAACGCATGCATTCCTTTACATCAAGTATGTGAAATCACATGATTTGGAATAAGCCAACCGTATGATAAATATGTTACATTATTAAATTCAAGAAAACTTGTAGATTCATATTTATACTTTCTATAAGATGCTGGTAAATGGACACTGTGCAGCATTTCCTGGGAAAAGCAAATTCCATCTTTCTTCTCACGAACAGCAGGTCTCTACAGGGGAGTACGGGGAAAGATGTGCTGCATCCATAGGCAGTGTATTGGCTAATATTGAGAATGATATTGCTAAAATTTAAAAAATAAAAATCTGGTAATCAGTATAGTAAGTACATGAATCACTGGGAAACACCAGAGCTGACTCCTGATGTATACTTCTTTTTGCTTTCAAGATACAGGTGTATATCAGAGATGAGGAGAATTCTGAGCCTTGTTTGTGGCAATTCTACCAGAAGGGGACTGCATGGCACCACCACAGATTTCATAAATTACCCTGAACATACTCAGTTATTCACTATTTGTTCGGAGCAAAGCATGAAATAGTCTTCAAACACATGAATTACAGATTTTGAGAGAGTGACATTGTTTAAACATAAAGTGCAACAGTGCTGAAGTTTTCAGTTTTTGTTAGTTCTTCATTGTTTTTGTCTAACTGCCATTTCCTGCAAGCAGAATTATGGCACAGTGAATAGAACAGAAAGCAGTTTTCCAACACATATCCCAGACTTATGCTTTCTTATTTATTTGATGACGTCGTTAAGGGTTTAACAAATCCTTCTTCATAAACTTTCAAAATAGCTTCACATACAAATCTGTATTGACTCTGAAAAATAGAAAGGACAGAACTGATCAGAAAGACTAGAAAACAACAACAACAACAACAACAACAACAATTTCACTTGACTTGCTTATAAAGGAAATGCAACGTAAAACCGCACAGAGATACCATTTTGCACCAACACAAAGGCAAAAAAATAAAAAGGTCTGACAACGTATTTTGTTGGCAACACTCACTCATACATTGCTAGTAGGGATGTAAAATACTACAATTTGGCAGCATCTAAAAAATTACATTAATTTACCTTTCACCCATTAATCCCACTTGTAGGAATCTATCCGAAAGATAAACCAGAAAAAGAAATTGAAAACATATATTCAGAAATAAGTCTATTCACCACTGGATTATTTTTAATAACACAGAGTAGGAACAATCCTAATGGCTACCAGGAAGGAACTGGGTGGCACATCCTCACAGGGGAATACTACGTGGTGAAGGGCTGAAGGGGAAGGAATGAAAGTCTACCGATCACTATAAAATGATTCCAGAGTACCTTGTTAAGTTAAAACAGCATGGCAGAGTAAAGTGCACACAATGTATTCTCTTTATAACAGAAAGAGGGTGACTACAAATGTCCATCTCAATATATATGTTATACAAAAGGGAAGGACAAATCATTAAAAACATAGTCTCCTATGAAGAGATAGAGGGGATAGAGTGCAGGAGAGGGGTAGAGATTAGATTTCACTGGATATACCTCCTCCTTCTATAGATTTTACTTTGGAACCACATAAATATACCCCATAATTAGAATGTTAATTTAACAAAATCTCTGTAAGTTGAAAATAATATGAAACAATCAATGTGTGTATGTAGTTGATGGCATAACCACATAGAGAGGAGTTATTTCAAGGGACTTTTAAACAGTAATTTGAGTATCTCATAGATATATCCAAAAAATAGAAAAAAAAATTCTTTTCAGTAACGATTCTGTTGGTGGTAGTAGTGTTAGTTTTGTTATTTTGAGATGTTATGTCATGTGGAATAAAACAAGGGAGTATTTGTGATAGTCTAAATCTTTCATTGCTGATATTGTAGAGAACCATTATTCTTGTTAAAGAAGAATGGAAATAAAGATGTAACATAGAACACATCAAGTAAAAACACTGAGGTCCTGAATTTGTATTGGAAGCATCAGTAGTAGCTCCTTATGCGTTTGTTTTCTTCACTGTGGCAATGGAAGATTTCTAGAGACAAATACTAACACTAACCCAGCAGCTTAAAATACTTAGTGCTCAGAAGGTGATCCCTAAAATAATTTCTAAAGACAAAAACAAAAAAAACCAGTACTTTTCTGGAGAAATTATGATTCTAAAACCAGGGCAGGAAATGCACATGCCTGGACATTTTTATTGGTAGCAAAGAAACTATCCGTACTAGGGTCTTGACAAAACAGCTTAGGAGCTGAGCTGAACAGGTTCCTACTGGCCAAAAATGGGACAGTGTAGGCATCATTAAAAAAAAAATAACTACAACGAGTTGAAATATATCACATATGTTTAAATCCACGATATCAGAATAATATCAAAGCAAACAAAAGTATGAGGTCACCAGTGGGAGAGGCAAGTGAACCAACTCATTATACTGAAAACTGATATATGAAAGCACAGCCTATACCACTGGTTAACCAAATAGCAGAAGAGAACTTTCTCTTTAAAGAAGTATTCCAGCTAATAAACAAAGAAGGAATAATAGACTATTATCATTCTTCAAACCCCACCAGTTAATGATGCAGACACTGATCACCCAAGGCCACTAACATCACAAAAAGAAAGACAACATTTAAGTGCCTCTTGAAAGAACAAAATACCACCTAATTTGTTCAAGTCTATAGATCCATTTACCACTCTTAGGAAACACAGATAACACTCGGTTATTTCATCAAATAAACTGCAGGAAAAAAGAAAAGAAACGTAGAAAGAAGCAACACATTAAAAGAGATTTAGGAGACATAAACCAATCAAAATTTGTGGACTGTATCTGAATCCTGATTTTATACAAACTGTAAAAGCAAAAACTCACTGTGTATGATACAATCCAATAATTTGATTTCTGGGTATATATACATACAAAATAATTGGAAGTAAGACCTCAAAGAGACATTCATACATCCATGTTCACAGAAGCATTATTTGCAATAACCAAAAGATGGAAACAACCCAAATGTCCACCGGCAGATAAAAGGATAAACAAAATGTGGCCTATACACAATCAAGAATTCTTCAGCCTTAAAAGAAAGGAAATTCTTACACATGCTACAAAGTGGATGAACCTTGAGAATATAATGCTGAGAGAATCCAGTCCCAGAAAAACAAAACCTGTATGAAGCTACTTATATAAGGCATCTAGAGCAGTCAAATTCCTAGAAACAGAAAGTAGAATGCTGGTTGCCAGGGGATGGGAGGAGAGGGATATGGAGAGTTGTTGTTTAATGTGTATAGTGTTTTAGTTTTGCAAGATGAAAAAGTGCTAGAGACAGGTTACCCAACAGTGTGAATACACTTAATACTACTGAACTGCATAATTCAAAATGGTTAAGATGATAAATTTTATGTGGTGTGTTTTGCTACAATTAAAAATCCATTATGTGTGAATATAGATACAAGAATCTCAAGAAAGTATTAGCCAATCAAATCAAGCATCATATAAAAAAAATTACACACCATGTCCAAGTAGAATTTACCCCAGGAATGCAGGTTAGTTTAACATCTGAGAGTCAGTCAATATACTATACAACATTAATAAAAGACAAAAACCAGACAATCGTTTCAAGAGACATACATACACAAAAAGCATTTGACAGAACTGAACATCTTTTCATGATGAAATTACTCAACAAACTAGCAACAGAGGGAACTTCCTCAACCTGACAAAAGGCAGCTTGTTACATACTTAGTGGGTAAAAAACTGAAAGCTATCTCCCTAAGACCAGGAACAAGACAAGAGTGTCTGGTTTTACCACTTTAACATTGTACTGGAAGTTTTAGCTTGGGACACTTGGGAGAAAAAAGGGGGGACGGGAGTGCCTGGGTGGCTCAGTTGGCTAAGCCTCCAATTCTTGATTTCAGTTCAGGTCATGATCTCATGGTTTGTGAGTTTGAGCCCCACACGGGGCTCTGCACTGGCAGCATAGAGCTTGCTTTGGATCCTCTCTCTCTGCCCCTTCCCTGCTCAAGCTCTCTCTCTCTCTCACTCTCTAAACAAACAAATAAACTTAAAAAAAAAGAAAGGAAAGGCATCTAAAGTGGAAAGGAAGAAGTAAACTACCTCTATTTACAGATAATATCTTGTATATAGAAAATCCTAAGGAATCCACTTTCATAGGTAAAAAATTATTAGAGTTAATGAATTATTTCAGCAAGGTTGCAGGATACATGATCAACATACAAAATCAATTTTATGTCTATACCCAAGCAATGTATACTCCCAAACTGAAATTAAGAAAACAATTTCCCTTAAAATAGCACCAAAAAGACTAAAAAGCTTAATAAATTTGACAAAAGAAGACTTGTATACTGAAAACTACAACATATGAAAGAAATTAAAGAAGACATAAATAGATGGAAAGACATTTTGTGTTCATGGTTTGGAAGATGGAATATCATTGAGATGGCAACACTCCTCTAAAATGATATGTAGATTTAATGCAATCCATATCTTGCTTTTTTTTGCAGAGAACATATAATGAATCCATATAAAATTAATATGGAAAAGCAAGGGACTCTGAATAGCTAAAACAGTCTTGAAAAAGGAACAGAGTTGGGAGAGTCACATTTCCTGACTTCGAATTTTATTATAAAACTATAAGTAATCAAGACACTATATAAGTAGTATAAGGATAGGCATATAAATCAATGGAACAGAGTTGAAAGTCCAAAAATAAACCCTTACATTTGTGGTCAACTAGTTTTTGACAAGGAACATAGAGACAATTAACAACAATCTTGGGGTGCCTGGGTGGCTCAGTCGGTTAAGCAACTGATTTCGGCTCAGGTCATGATCTCACGGTTCATGGGTTCAAGCCCTGCATCAGGCTCCGTGCTGACAGCCCAGAGCCTGGAGCCTGCTTCGGATTCTGTGTCTCCCTCTCTCTCTCTCTCTCTCTCTCTCTCTCTCTCTCTCTCTGCCCCTCCCCTGCTCGTGCTCTGTCTCTGTCTCTCAAAAAATAAATAAATGTTAAAAAAAAATTTTTAAAAGAAAGAACAGTCTTTTCCATAATGGAGTGGAGACAACTGGAAAACCACATGCAGAAGAATGAAACTGGAACCATACCTCAAACTATATGTAAAAGCTAACTCAAAATAAATCAGACACACATGTGAGAGCTAGACTATAAAACTCTCGGAAGAAAGCAGAAGAATAAACCTTTGCAGCCTTGAGTTTCGGCAATGATTTCTTAGATATGACACCAAAAGCATATGTGATTTAAAAAATATATAAACTAGACTTCATCAAAATTAAAAACTTCTGTGCTACAAATGACATAATCAAAAAAGTAAAAGAACGGCATGGAAGAAAACATTTGCAAACCATAGACGTACAAGGCACTTGTATTCAGAAAATATAAAGGACTCTTACAACTCAACAATAAAATGACCAAAAGAACAAACTGAAAAAAGGGGAAGGGGCATCTGGCTGGCTCAGTTGGTGAAACGTGTGACTCCTGATCTAAGGCTGTGAATTCAAGCCCTTTGTTGGGGGCAGAGATTATTTAAAAATAAAATCTTTAAAAAAAATAAAAGGGCAAAAGGTTTGAATAGACAGTTTTCAAAAGAAGATATACAAATAAACACATGAAAAAATGCTTGAAAGCACTAGTTATTAGGGAAACACAAATCAAAACCACAACAAGATACCACTTTATGTTCAGTAGGCTAAAATAGAAAAAAGAGAGGGGTGCCTGGTTGGCTCAGTCAGTGGAGTATGGGACTCTTGATCTCGGGGTCACAAATTGGAGCCCCACATTGGTGCAGAGACCACCTTAAAAAGACAGATAATAACAAGTGTTGACAATGATATGGAGAAAACAGAGCCCTCATACACTGACAGAAGAATGGCAAAACGGTATAGCCACATTGGAAACAGTCTGGCAGTTACTCAAAAGGTTAAACAGAGTTACCATATGACCCAGCAATTCCCCCTCTGGGTATATACCCAAGAGAAATGAAAACATATTCACACAAAAACATACGCAAAAGTTTATGGTACCATTATTCATAATAACCAAGAAGCAGAAATGATCTAAATGCCCATGAACAGATGAATCGATAAACAATGGAATACTATTCAGGCAAACAAAAAAAGAGAAAGAAATGAAATATGATACACTCTATAGAATGGATAAACCTGTAAATATTATGCTAATTAAAAGAAGTCAATTATAAAGACCAAGTTGTATGATTTCATGCATATGAAAGGTCCAGAAAAGGTAAAGTTACAGAGACAGAAAGTAGATTAGTGGTTACCTGAAGCTGGGCTGGGGGGAGGTTGGAGACTGTATGAGGGAAATGGGTATGGGGTTTCTTCTTCAGGTGATGAAATATTCTAAAATTAGATAGTTGTGATGGTTGCAAAACTCTGTGATATACTAAAAACTAATGAACTATATACTTTAAAAGGGTGAATTTTGTGGGCGCCTGGGTGGCTCAGTTGGTTAAGTGTCCGACTTCGGCTCAGGTCATGATCTCACGGTTTTTGAGTTCAAGCCCTGTATTGGGCTCTCTGCTGTCAGCACAGAGTTGGCTTCAGATCCTCTGTCCTCCTCTCTCTCTCTGCCCCTTCCCCACTGCTCTCTCTCTCAAAAATAAGCTAAAAATTAATAAATAGGTAAATTTTGTGGTATGTGCATTATATTTCAATAAAGCTGTTCCATAAAAAAGACATGATTTATATGGGACAAATGAAAATCTGAATATAGGCTATTTGATAACATTAAGAAATTACTGTTTATTATACTTACATGTGATGACGGTATTGTGATTTTGTTTAGAAGAAAAACCACTCTGTACCTTTTACAGATACACACTAAAATATTTATAGACAAAATGATCTGACGTCTAGGATTTGCTTCAAATATGGGAGAGTAGGTGGCACTACAGATGAAACAATATGGCAAATGCTGTTGGGTTTGAGTACTCAACATAGCGTTTGATTATCTACTCTTGCGTTTGATTATGTTTGATTATGTACTCTTGCGTACATTTGAAATTTTCTATAATTAAAAGCTAAAAAAAATGACAGGCATTTATTAGATCACACAGGTCGATTCACTTCAATAACTTTAATGCCACCAACAATGCTAATATTTCACCATGGCTTAATACAAAAAATAATCTTAACATTAACTCTAAAATTCTTCTTTTTATTCTTGGAATATAATTCAGAGTCTGTGTAGAATACAATAAGTGAGTAGCTTAATTTCCATGCCTTTGTTGTTGTTGTTGTTGTGATTCAAGTTCTTATGTTAAAAAGAATGTGATTTCACCACAGCTGTTTCATGGAAAACAGGTCTATCAAGACTCTCCAGTTCTTGGCATCCCACTTGACTGACACTTAATAGAGGGAGAGTTCCTCTGCACCTGTTTAAGCATTCAAGGATTAACATGATAGGGTGATACTAAGAAACATTTTCTGTAAAAGATCAGTTAGTAAATGTTTTAGGTTTTGCCAATCATATGGTACCTGTTGCAACCTCTCAACTTTGATACTTTAGTATAAAAACAGTCATAGACAATATGTAAAGAAGTGGGAATGGCTGTGTGCCAATAAAACTTTATTTACAAAAACAAGGGGTGGGCCAGATTTGGCTCACAGGCAATATTCACCAACCCCTATGCTACAGGTTACTGGCTCCTGGTAAGGAATTAAAATATAAAAATATGGTTTGGCATATATAATGGTAACAAAAATCATCATGTTGAGAATACACACAAGTACATAAAGTGCAGTACTTACAGGTGTTTGGATCATCATGGCTCGTTGATCTCTCATTGTTCTTACAATGTCTAGTGGATAAACTGGTTGATTGCATTCAATGAGACACATGGCTGTTTCCATAGTAATAAGAACCCCAGTCCTTCCAATTCCAGCACTAAAAAAGTAAGGGGCAAGGTCTCATTGATACTATCCTGTTACACTTCTTGTGGCTTTTGTGCAGTAAATTAAAGTACTGAATGAAACATAATACAATGGAATAATAATTTGATTTTAATTAAGTTTTATATTACAAAAGTAGAACCCAACTAAAAAATACTTTGAAAATTGAAAAACATTTCACACGTAATGCAGATTAAATGGTTTGTATCCACACCTTCCCCATTGTTAGTGTAAAAATGCTACTTTAAAAGAGTCACATTTCAGTTTTAAAAATCTGAACAAGTATAGAAGATTACTGGAGCAACCTCACTTTAAAATGCAAAATAACAAAGTTACAATAATCATTAACAAATGTACAAAAGACAATAGTATTTTACATATTCAAGTCAGTTTTTAAAATCAAATTTAATTTTGATTAAACTTTAGAATTGGGATAGTCAAGAACAACTTTTTGAAGTATTCTCTGTGAACATAGCTATAGCAGCTTTTGGGGGCTTAGGATATGAAATGGCCAAACGTGTTCATCATTCCTGACATCTTTCCTCTCAGATATCTGGTCTATAATCTGTTTTGATAATTTGAAAGTCTGCTCTTAAAAAAGTGCCGGAAAGTTTAAGGATGAAGAGATACCTTCATTTATCTATTCAGAAGATTCAATACAGCTTCTGAATGAATCACTTAACGACAGAAATGGCTAGGATAAGGAGAAGATAATTTCAGTTTCCTACTCTGGGTTGGTGGCAGTGAAGGCTAGAGTGATTGTACCTGGCCCTCTGGAAGGCAGAATGGGGCCTGAATATGAAAGCAAGAAAGGGTAGCCTACCATTGTTCACCAAGGGCTCATAGAAGTGGCATAGCCTCTGATGATAGATACTGGGTACAGCCACTCCAAGAGGGGAGGATACTTAACAAATATCCTGGGAGGGGTCACAGAACGGGAGGGAGTACCTTGCTGGGAGGAGAAAATCTAAACCTTAGGCTGCAACTGAATGCCTACAATATTGTATTTCATCAAGTCTAAGATGCCAGCCATTATAAGACACCCAATGTCTGAGAGGTAAACTATGAAAAAGACAACCTTCTAAGAATTAATCAGTAAAGTATTATTTTTACTTCTTATGATAATGTTTCAGACAATCATGTGTTGGGACATACCTGCTGCCTTCCAGCTTCATTTCATAGCTTTAGGTTCCCTCTAATTAAAATAGTGATGATCACAATTTAAGGACAAAATAAAATACGCATTTCCTTTTAGAAGTGACCTATCTGGTCAGCTATTCAATCATAAAAGACAGAAAATAGAATACCTGCAGTGAACAACAATAGGTTCTTCCTTGCCAGCCCTCTTATTTCGTACATGACAAACAAAATCCAGAAAGTCACTGGAATCATCGGGGACTCCATGGTCAGGCCAGGCTATGTATTGGATCTGAGTGAGTTGACGACTCTCATTTTTCTAAGTGTGAATGAAAAATTATGCACTTTGACTAAGGAATTATCTTTAAGGTATAAACATTTATGTCATTTTAATTTTAGAAGAAAAGCGAGCAAAGTATTCCCACTACACACAAAAAGTAATGCAGAAATTCAATAAAACCCCAAATTTTAATGAAAAAGAAAGAAACTGTTTCACAGAAACAGTTGTATCCATTGAGTATTGTCTACCTGGATCACTACTCTTCTGATAACTCAATTTGTCTATTTGTATTTTTCAGATGACAATCAAATAAATAAGCAAACCAAGTTAAGATACAAAGAAAGGTGTGAAGAAAACTAAAAAGTGTTAGGTGAACAAAATGGTAAGGTAAAAAAACTTTTATAAGCAAAATTGGGCTAATTCTGAAAAACCCAAGTGAAATAATGGAAATTAGGAAAACAAAATCTCAAAATAAATGTGGATTAAAAACTGGAGATCATAAGAACACAAAGTCAAATCAGGGCTTAATTCTTTTTTAGGAGCCAAGAATCAGTAAAATGGAGAAAGGTATTGGATTTATGCATCTCATTTCTAATCTTGACTCTGCCGGTAAGCACTTAATATATCAGAGCCTTATTGTCTTAAACTGAAAAATAACACCTCCAACCCAAAAGGATAGTCTTATTTTGAAAGGATTCTATGAGAAGACCTATAAATTACCCCATCAGCTGTTTGGAATCATATTCTCAAAAATTGGTAGGTATGGTCATTTGACACTATTAAATCTGGCTACAGTCATTTACATTAAAGGGAGCTTCCAGAAAAGACCATTAAAGTACAAGGTGATTAAGAAAGGAACTAATGAAAGAAGAATTCCCAAAGAGACCTCAGAATAACCTGATAAGTAATTTTTTAGTATCCTATGAAATGAGATGGTTATCTACAGTAGACAACCTTTGATTATTATTATTATTATTATTATTTATTTATTTTTTTAAAGTAAGCTTCACACCTAGCGTGGAGCCCAAAACAGGGCTTGAACTCATGACCCTGAGATCAAGACCTGAGCCCGAGATCAAGAGTCAGATGCTTAACCGACTGAGCCACCCAGGTGCTCCTTGATTATTATTAACATAAGAATTTAATTAACTTAATGTACCAATAATTACAAAAATGGTTAATGTAAAATATCTTTTATTATGTTTTGAGGTAGTGTCTATTTATCCATGTATGTATGTATTTGGTATGGTAACAAATGTATTTTCCCAATTATATTTGTCCCAAACTTTAAAAACTAATTTGTGTCTTAGCATAGTTCTGAGGTACTCAGGGTTTGCGAAGAAAAGACACTTTAATATTATAAACTGCCATGGATAATCTATAGGTGGAGCATAAAGAGACTATGCTGAAGCCATATACAGCCTTTCATATCCATTTGGGAAAATGAAGAAATATCTTATGGACTTACCTTGTTACATTAGAACATGAGCTATACAGTGTATGTCCCTAAGCCCTAAATTCATTCTGATGGAATCTACAAAAGATTTTGAAAGTTTAATTTTTTACTTCTTATAACCTATTCAATGCCAGATTCCTTTATTATACATCAGCACGACTTCTAGTTCCTTCCCTCTGGGTCAGTAAAGCTGTCTTGCTGGGCTCCTTTATTCACATTCTGGGAGGTAGAATGGGGCAGGGAGGGGGAGAGGAAGCTCTCATTTCCTAAGGCTTAACCATTGATGAGGTAGGCATGGGTATACAAAGGCAGTAGACTATACTATTTGCTCTTCTCGAGCCCCCGTCAAAACCAAAGGTGGCTACAGGGGAATCTCTAGCTGCAGGCAGTGAAAGTGGGGTGTACGGTCTTTAACAGCCTGACAAGACTGGCAACATGCCACCCTCCACATATATCTTCCAAGTGGGTTACTAAGCCATCATTTACTAATCAGTTTCCATTTCTAGCTCTGGATTTGGAAGCAAAGAAGAGTGACCCAGGTGGCAGTAAACTAGCAATTAGAAAGCTATAATCTGTCTGCTGTCAGAGGATCCTGCCTACAACCTTTTCCTTCTTAATACTGAGGGAGGAGACTGTGAACGCTCTCCTTTATACTCTTTTACAAAAAGGACAATAATTTGACAGCTTTTAATTATTCTATTTCCACAGATATACCCAAATACTTTATTGATGTTACTGGTAGGAAGAAACTAAACACAAACCTGGCATAATTTTTAATGAATAGGTAAAGTATTATGAGTAATAAGTATTATTTACTAGAATCTTTTTTTACTGACCATTCATATCTACATAGAGAAAGTGAAAATGCATTTAATATAGCAGGAGAATACATTTCATAAGATTCCAAAGAATCCCAAAGAAGCAAATAATTCAGTAACTTTAAAATAATATTTCCTAGTTAACCAGGACTCAAAACATTTTTGGCTTTCAAAGTTTTACCTTGAACATAAAAGTTCTATTGAGTGGATATCCTGCCTTCCTACCTCTTGGTTAAATAGTGTCATCTTCCTGAAGATATATGCTGTGTTTCCTTCTTCTGAGTGGCAGGTGACTTGGTAGCATCCATAGGATGAACTTGCTGTGGGTTCTGGCCAATACTGGTGACACTTAACCTGACATCAATAGATTTAAGAAATATATAGAATTTAGGTTCTTCAATTTTGAAAATGTTTTACTTTTTGAAAACTTTTAAGCCTACAAAAAAATTACAAGAATAATTTGAGGAACCTTCATATATCCTTCACCTAGATCTGCCAACTCTATTAACATTTCTTCATCATTTTTTCTTTGTAATAATAATCTGTTTGGATAGATTTTGAGACTGCAAATATCCTGTTTATTACAAGCTTTCATCCAATGTTTTACAATTCTTGATTAATTCTTGTGTGAATTATTTACTATGACAGTGGCAAAATGGTGCATTAATTCTTATATTTCTAGATTTAAGTTAACAATGAGAAAGATTCTCTAAAATGCCAATGCATTTATTTTCATAATTAGGATTAAAATTTTTTTTAAGTTTATTTATTTTGAGAGAGACAGAGAGGGACAGCACAAACAGGTGAGGGACAGACAGAGAGGGAGGGGGGGAGAGAGAGAGAGAGAGAGAGAGAGAGAGAGAGAGAGAGAGAGAGAGAATCCCAAGCAGACTCTTCCCTGTCAGCACAGAGCCCAACATGGGGCGTGAACTCAAACTGTGAGATCATGACCTAGACCAAAACCAAGAGTCAGATGCTAAAGTTGACTGAGCCAGCTAGGCACCCCATAATTAGGACTTTAAAAAAAAAAAAGCTTTACTGACATATAATTCACATACCATACCATTTGCCCATTTAAAGCACACAATTCAATTAGTTTTAGTATATTTACAGAAGTGTGCAACAATCACTTTCAGAACATTTTTTCACTCCCAAACCCATTAATAATCACTGTGTGTTCCTCTATCCTAACCTCTTCTCTCATTCTGGACTTAGGCAACCATTAATCCACTTTTCTGTCCTCTGTGAATTTGCCTACTCTGGACATTTCATATAATGAAATCATACTGTGCGCGGTCTTTGTTGACTGCTTTGTTCACTTGGCATGATGCTTTCTAGGTTCAAGCATGTTGTAGCATGTATCATTTCTTCATTCCTTTTTATTGCCAAGTTTTATACACACACACACACACACACACACACACACACACACACACACACACGATTATACCATGTTTTATTTGCTACATTTTGATTGTTTCCACCCTTTGGCTATTATGAATAATGCTGCTATGAACATTTGTGTACAAGTATTTGCGTGGATGTATGTTTTCATTTCTCCTGGGTATGCCTAGGAGTGAAACTGCTGAGTTGTAACAACTCTTATGGTTAGCCTTTCGAGGAACTGACAGACTGTTTCCCAAAGCAGCTGCACCATTGTACAAATTTACCAACAGTATAAGAGGGTGTCATTTTCTCCCTATCGTTGTCAACACTTGCTATTATCTGTCATTTTTATTTTAGTCATCCTATTGGATATGAAGTGCTACCTCCTTGTGGTTTTGATTTTTGCATTTCCTTTGTGACTAATGATGCCAGCCAAGCACCTTTTCATGACCTTACTGGCCATTTAAATATCTTTATTCAAGAAACATCTACTCAGAATATTTGGCCATTTTTAAATTGGGATTCTATCGGGGCACCTGGGTGGCTCAGTCAGTTGAGCGTCCGACTTAGGCTCAGATCATGATCTCACAGCTCATGAGTTCAAGCTCAGCATCGGGCTCTGTGCTGACGGCTCAGAGCCTGGAGCCTGCTTTGGATTCTGTGTCTCCCTCTCTCTCTGCCCTCTCCTACCCACTCTGTCTCTCTTTCTCTCAAAAATAAACAAACATTAAGAAAAAAATTTTTTAGTTGGGGTTTTATCATTTTATTGTTGAGTTGCAGGAGTTCTTTACATATTTTAGATCCAAATCCTTTATCAAATAGCTATTAATCCATTTAGATAACAACTGATAATAGTAGTTAACATTTATATATCATATTTATTATGTGTTAGTCACTATGATTTTAATCACAACACAAGAAAGTAAGTTTAAAGGTTACAAAAAAGACTAAATCAACGTGAATATTTTGACCATATATGCAATTTAATTTGAAAACAGCGCAAGCATTGTTTAAGATTCAAGTATGACTTACTCTGCCACGTTCAACTTGTGTGGTCAACATTACAACCATGGAGGAGCCTTGTTCCCAAGTCATCTGCCAAAAATCTGTACAAGTGTGTGGTAATGGCCCTTGACAAGCAATATACTGATTTATAATGCTAGAAGAAGGGATTTCCATCTAAAAAGAAAAGGACACAAAACTAAAAGTCTTTTACATTATTACTTTTTACTGTGATCAAGTATATGAAAATCATCCACTAAATAATAACTGAATACAACTGATCTCAAAAAGCTGCAAAATCAATAAAACTTTATTAACAATTTCTTTATCTATAGAAGAAATTTCTCAGTAGTTTTGTACATATTTATCTTTTAAGTATTGGGAATAAAAATTAAAATATTTTCCAAAGCACTCTTGTGGGCTTAAGAGCAGCTTTACAGAAAACCCTGCTTTAGAGGAAGAGACTTGCTACAGAAATAAAAAATATTTGTCTCTAAACAGCTTACAGGTAAAATTTGCAAGAAGCAAAAATTCTGCCGTTTGTTTTAGTTCAGACTTTACAAATAATACACACTATATAACATATATACATTATACTATATAACATACATAAGAAATATACACAACACATACAATAGAAAAAGATAGTAAAAATATTTTAAATTAATTATTTTTAAGAAGAAGTAAGATCGTGAGTATTCGGGGAGGATTATCATCCTACTACATTTTGAGACTTCAGTAAAAAAGAAGAAAAGGTGACACACACACATGGCACTGGAAGAATACTAAAGGGTGAACAGAAAAAGAGGTCTCACTCTCTTCCCAGCCTCTGGTTCACACCCAGAAGAACAATCCTTTTTGCTAATTTCTTTATTTTTTTAATTAAAAAAATTTTTAATGTTTTTTTTATTTTCGAGACTGAGAGGAGACAGAATGTGAGTGGGGGAGGGGCAGAGAGAGAGGGTGACACAGAATCCAAAGTAGGCTGTAGGCTTTGAGCTGTCAGCACAGAGCCTGCCGCAGGGCTCGAACCCACAAACTGTGAGATCATGACCTGAGCCAAAGTTGGATGCCCAACCAACTGAGCCACCCAGGTGCCCCTCTTTTTTAATTTTTAAAAAAATTGTATTTATTTTTGAGGGGGCGGGCAGAGAGGCAGAAAGAGAGGGAGAGAGAGAGAATCTCAAGCAGGCTCTGCGCTGTCAGCACAAAGCCCAATGCAGGGCTTGAACTCATGAACCATGAGATCATGATCTGAGCTGAAACCAAGAGTCAGACACTTAAACCGACTGAGTCACCTAGGAACCCCTCTAATTTCTAAAATATCCTTTCAGAGACACTCTATAAACAACACACAAATGTACATGCAGAAGTCTTTGTTTTCTGTAAGACATAAAAGGTGGCTTACAATGTTGTTCTGTGTATCTTGTTTCTTTTTCCACTTTATCATTGAGATCATGTCAGATTAGTACATAAAACTTCATTCTTTTTAATGGCTCTACTGTATAAATATACCATAATTTATTTAACAAACATTTAAGTTGCTGCTAATCTATTTGTTACCATAAACAAGACTGCACGGAGTTATTTTTATAAACCTAACATTTTTGTTAGTTACCTCTCCAAAGAGGTTGTACCTATCTATACTTCCACCAACAATGTATCAGGGATGCTTTTTCCCTGAGAGTCTCTTTAATATACTGCTGATCCCTCACACACAATTTTGAAACTCCCAGTGCTCTGAAGTGTAAGTTTGTCCTTTGTTTGGTACATCTGACCTAAGTTGGACTCATTTGACAACAATATCTGACCTGAGTTAATCTAAGATTATTTACAGTCTTTAGGAGTACCACTCAGTGGGAATATCCATGTTTCCCATTGAGTATCAACGCATTGATTACAGGGTAATGTCACATAGTCTACTAGGGATGTTACTTATTACAGTATTTGGTATAGGCACTGAATAAACTTTCAAAAATCCAAAAAATTACGAATCCCAAAGTCTATTTGGCCCCAAGATTTCAGATAAGGGATACAGACTTGTATATGATATTATCACACTTTTTGATATTTCAATCTAATAGGTGAAAAATAGTAATCCCTTGCAGTTTTGATTTGTACTTTTCTTTCTGTGAGTTAAGTTTAGATGAGTGTCTAAACTTAGAAAAAATTTTCCCTCTCTGATTTTAAATAATTCTCATACATTTCCTCCAAGTAGTTTCACGATTCCATTTTTACATTTATATTTTCATATATATAAAATATGGTATACAAAAAGTGAGGAAGTAGGTGAAGTATTTATAGATAAAAAATATTTCTGAACTATTCTATTCCACTGCTCTATATGCATGTCAATATACCAGTACCAAACTATTTTTGGTAAGGTTTATTTATTTTGAGAGAGAGTGTGAGCGAACAAGTGCACAAGTGGGGGAAGGGCTGAGAGAGAGGGAGAGAGAGAATCCCAGGCAGGTGCCCCAGTATCAAATTATTTTTTAACATTTGTATTTTAATATTTTTCAATATCTGAAACTGTTAATATTCTCTCAAATATAAAAGGAACCTCAAAGTTTAGGGATGCCTGGGTGGCTCAGTTGGTTAAGTGCCTGACTCTTGATTTTGGCTCAGGTCATGATCTCATGGTTTGTGAGTTTGAGCCCCACATCGGGCTCTGGGCTGATAGCACAGTTGGGATCCTCTCTCTGTCTCCTTCTCTTTCTGTCCCTACCACCCCCCACCGGCCTCGTGCACACTCTCTTTCTCTCTCTCAAAATAAATAAATATTTGGGGGGAAAAAAAATGAACCACAAAATTATAGTCCGTCTTATTCCGAATGACAAAGGCACAATAAAAATAAACTTACGTTTATATAATTTGCATTGATATAGTCTTCATTACCCTTTAAAATGACCCGTGTAGCATCATCTGAAAAAAAATTTAAAAGAAAGAACATTTTAATAAAGCTATGCTACAAAGACTGAACTTAATAAACAGAGATAGTAGATACTTACAAGGCGAAATATCTCTGTATCTATTTTTGGAAATATTCTGAGGTAATTTGGCACAAGACATTGTCATTCCAGGTTTTTTCCGATATAGTTGCTTTAAAAAAAAAAAAAAGAGCTTAAGATGAGTTCAGCAAGCCATTAAGAGGTTCTGTTTTGTTTTTCAGACTTATTTCTATGCAAAAAACAAACAGGTTTTTTTCCTTAGGATATCTCAACCGTACAATGATGTATGTACCTTAGGCTAGTAGGGTATTGAACCAAATTTGCAAAGCTGAATTCTGTGCAATTTCTCATGAGAATTATATACCATTTTCATTTAGTTTGGAGATGTTTACACAGTATATGAACCAAGAACTTCTCAAAAGAAAAACTGACCTACCCTAAATGATTTACAGTCACAAATGGTTTATAGTCAATCATCAATAACACATACTTTAGAGCAACAAATATTAATGATGACCAATTAGACAGACAAAAAGTAGAGAAGGATTAAATATGACTAGGTACAAAAATTCTTTTTCTTTAACTCAGAATTTTTAGCTCCACCATAGACTATCTTTACCTGTTACCTTTCATAAAAAGAGCTATATAATTACAGGAAAAAATTTAGTTTGAAGACATACACATAAAATCTCCTTAGTCTTCTCTTTTAATAGATTATTATGTCACCACAGCTAGCATTTTGCAAGAAATGTTTAAAACTATGGATTTTAGAACATTTTTTAAGTCAATTATTTCTCAGAATATCATTTTAGTTTATACATTATAAATGATAGATTAGGTAGTTAGGAAACTATGAAATTAATTTAAAAATATGGCCCAACACCCTTTCCATACAATAGTACTTACATCAAATTGTGTCAGGACTGTTCCAGTGATAAGCCCCTCAGCTAGCTGGATCATTGACTCCCGCAGGGAATGGTCATCCTGATGGACGCTATCTAGTGGGGCTTTCTCAGGAATGTACTGGAAGTCTGGTTCATTTTCTAGCTTTTCTTCCACTACATCATATACAGCTAAAAGAATCCACAAAAAAAAAAACAAAGCCACATGGAAATCTTAATGAATTGGCAAGAATTTACCAGATGTGTTCTTTAATTTTGTGTCAGGAAAAAGAATTCATCAGATCGCAGTCCGGTGCCACTGCATAAGGGACAGACAGTGGCTGTGAAGTTGAACCTTGTTGTACCTTTAGGGAAAAGAAATGTTCCCAGGCATACTGCTGAAAATGCCTGTACTTCAAGAGGAGCTGCCAAGATAGCAGCTCAGAACAGACCTGCCCTTAAATTGTGGGGCCTAGAACAAAAGTAGAAACAGGGACCTATATACTATACATCCATATATGAGACGATACAAATAACTTGAATAGAGTGCTAACCAAAATCCGTTCCATCCTCTTTCCTTGAAACATCTACAAAACCTAGGAGGGCAAAATCCACTGTCACAATAGAAGGAAGACAGCCAGAACCTAGACTCTGGCCTGGAGCCCACCCTACTTCTTTTCCTACCCTAAGCTCCATTCTTAGCTTGGGGGCCTATGAACATATGTGTGAACATACCAGCCCATATGAAGCTTGTTCCCCACTCCTCGGCAAATTGCTGCCTCTGAGCTATCCTGCTGGCCCAGGGGTATATATACCATGTGATCTATCCCAGGGAGAATGGACCTAGGGAAAATGGCCACACTGTAAGTGGCGCCAGAGCTATATGGACAGAGAACTAAAGGTTAAAAAGAAGTGTCTAGAAAAGAAGGCACAGTCATAGGTGATAGACTGGTATGCCCCCCTGGTCCTGCAAAATCCTAACCCCCACAGACAAGGGCAAAGCTGAAAGAGAGCCAGAGTAGAGCCAAGCTAGTGGCTTCTTTTGCCCATGCCTAACAGGTCTGGTTCCTGTTCAGATGTGTGCACTTCTGAGAAGAAAAAATTTCTGAAATAAGGAATGAAAAGAAAAAAAAAAAATGTATGAATGTATTCTAAGAAGAAATGAAATCTAAAGGGGGGGGAAAAACCTACAAAAACAAGTTGTTTGTCTTTCTGGTATTTTTTATAAACATAGTTTTAAATTTTGATGACATGTTATTTTAAATAAAAAGGGACATGACAGAGTCATGCTGAAAGTAAATACAAGTCCCAGTCTAGATTTTGACAATAAAACAACAGAAAGGTCTTTTACCAAGAACTAAGCTATAGATGGTTTCCTCTCCTATTTTATTTTATTTTATTTTATTTTATTTTATTTTATTTTATTTTTTGTTTTGTTTTTATGTTTATTTATTTTTGAGAGAGAGATAGAGTGTGAGCAGGGGAGGAGCAGAGAGAGAGAGACACACACACAGATCCAAAACAGGCTCCAGGCTCTGAGCTGTCAGCACAGAGCCCGATGTGGGGCTCAAACTCATGAACAATGAAATCGTGACCTGAGCCGAAGTTGGACGCCCAACCAACTGAGCCACCCATGCACCCCGTTCCTCTCTTAATTTAAAGTATGAATAAAGTGATTTAGAATTGCAAAAAGGCTATGACTTTCCCATTAAATGGAATTTTGTTCATATTCTGGTTGTATACAAGTCATGAAATTTGTAAGCAGATAACTGAATATCTTGGTGTCAAAGTGTCTTCAACTATAAAATAAAGATAATTCACGTATCTCACTGGCTGGTTGCAAAGATTAAAAGAGAATATATAAAATAGCCCAGGTGCAGAACTTACTATTAAGTTCTTTAGAATCTGTTATCAAGAGAAAACACAACAAGCAAAACTGAGGAAATATTATTATTCTTAGTATAAAATTTAAGTTGCATTATGTGACAGAAAATGCCTAGTAATGAATCACCTAAATATCAGGACTAAATGCATGTGTTCCTTGAAAAGTCAAAATAGAATGTTCTGTTGAAGTCCTCTGAATTTTCTTAGAAAGCCAATTCTAGACAATGAATGCAAAAAACAAAGTAGACAAGCTAAAATGAAAATGCCTGTTTGTACCCAAGAGACAAAATGAGTGTTTTGTATATCTTTTTCTTTTCTTTTTTTTTTAATTTTTTAATTTTTCTTTTTTAAAGAAACTCTCTTGGAAAACTCTGCAGGGTTGGGTGTGGTGGTGGTGATAGGGGAACGGGTCGAGTTCTAACTACATTTTACTTCTTTATGGTAAATAGTCAACAACTGGTAGCAAGGCATTAACCAACAATTACTCTTGTGGCTAAAACTATGGTTAATGATGAACTGTTCAGAACAAAACTAGAATATTTATAATGCTGGGATACAGGCATATAAGAATTTTTCTCAGAGGAGACTGATAAAGTGTAGCAGGCACTTGAAACAGTGCAATAAACTGAAGAAAGGAGGAGGGTTTCTTGCCAAAAAACTTAAGGAAGGGGGATTTAATTTATTCTGCATTAAATTTATTCTGCATAGCACAAAGGGACAGAATTAGGAACAAAGAGACTGAAAGAAGACAGATTTTTAGTTCAATTAACAGTTCAAGCTACCCAAAGGGAAAATGAACTGCTTCAGGAGCCACTGAATGCCACACAGTGGCAGGATGATTTTGAGGCTATCGTAGAGGAAACTCAAACCATCAGCAAAGGAGCTAGAGAGTATGGTATTAAGGTTTCTCTAAACCTGGAACTGTGGTTATGAATTAACAAGCCAGCTGTCCAGACAAGGAGATGACATGATTAGGCTACTGGCACTGTCCACCACAAACACAGACAGGATTTTTCAAAATGCTCTAACTGTAGCTTGTTACAGAGTTTTCTAAAAGTGGTTCAAAACGGGCTCTTGAGTTAAGATGGCAGAGTAGTATCGGGACCCTGAGCTTGTCTTGTCCCTCAAATGCAGGGGGATCAGTATCAAGCCATTTTGAACACCTAGGAAATTGATCTGCAGACGAATGCAACAATCTGCATAATATAAGCCATAGAACTTGGCAGGTATATGGTGTGGAGAGGTGAACTGGGGGAGAGAAAAGCTGCAGAGCCACTGTGGGTAGAAAGCGATCTTTGTGGACAGAAGACAGAGAGAGAAAGGGGGAGAATACAGTGCTTAGGGATTGCACAAGCAAAGTACTGTTCCTGAAAGTAGCTGGAAAGAAAAAGAGAGAGTGAAAACACTCGCAGGGGACTGGAAAAAAAAAAATCTGTTCCCCAAAACCACTGATGGGGAGAAAGGAGAGGATTTTAATACCACCACTGTTCTATAAACAGTGGAGTGTAGAGTCTGATGGTCTGAAGCTCAGGGCCTGGCGGTGCTCTGGTGAGGAAGCAGGGTGAATCTTTAGGAGCAGGCAGCACGGTCTGAGGGGTCCATGTGCCACACAGGGAGAAGCGGTTCACCTGATTGAAGTGCATTTGGTAGAGGCCATACAACCTTCCCTTGGGCCAACCAGGTTTACTGATCTTGGAACAAAGACGCCAGACATCACCAAAACCTGGCGTCAGCTGTGTGTTGTGATTTACTATAAACCCTGAGACTCTGCTGCTGTGCAAATGTTTTCTGGGACGAGCTGGTACCCGGCCATTGCTCGGTGAGACCCTCCCCCAGAGAGTCTAAGCAGATCCAAGCTGCTGGGGGTCTCCAAAGTGTGGGATTTTGAAACATAGCACCATCTGAGATAAAACCCTGGAGGGAGGTTACCACCTGGCAGGCAAACAGCTTAGACATGGTCAAGGTAGAGGAAGGGAACAGACAGAAGCCTGAGACAAAGAAGGGGTGCTGGTGTGCAGGTTGGTGACGGCACAAAGTTTCTGTGCTAGAGACTAAGGAGTTGGGTTAGGCCATTTGCAATTTTTGTTCGTGCACTTCCATGGATCGACCCCACTAAGCTGAGCAGCGCCACCAAGTGGAGAATGGAGCCGTTACACCAAGCACCAACCACCTGTGCCATCCAGGCATATCCTCCAGAAGACCAGCACAAATCCTTTCCACCTGCTTATTAGTCTATGGACTATGGTGTGCTGTAAAGTTTCAGATCTACAGGAAAATGAATGTAATATCATTTGGGTCTTGTTCTGTTTGCTGGTTCATTTATTTGTTTTCATTGTTTCTGCTTTTCCTTATGTTGTTTTGTTTTTTTCTCTTTCTTTCTTGGATACAGAAAGAGGAAATTCTTCCTTATTTTTTAAAAATTTTTATTCTATTTTATTATTTAAAAAAATTTAAAATTTTCCCCTTTCTCTTTATTATCTATTCTATCAAGCTTCTCTCAACAAACAGACCAAAACACACGTAAGATCTAAATTTTGATTTTTTTTGTTTCATTTAAAATCTTTACTTTATTAATTTTTTTCTTCCTTCAAAATGACAAGATGGAGGAATTCACCCCAGAAGAAAGAACACGAAGAAATGATTACCAGGGATTTAATCAACACAGATGTAAGTAAGATGTCTGAATAGAATTTAAAACCACAATTTTATTACTAGCTGGGGTTGAAAAATGCATAGAAGACACAAGAGAATTCCTTTCTGCAGAGATTAAAGAACTAAAATCTAGTCAGGCAAAAATTAAAAATGCTATAAACTGAGATGTAATCTTGAATGGATGCCATCATGGCACGGATGGATAAAGCAGAGCAGCAAAACAGCGTTACAGAAAATAAAATTATAGAAAATAATGAAGTAAAAAAAAAAGAGGGAAACAAAGGCAAAAAGATTACAATACAAGACTTAGAGAACTCAGTGACTTAGTAAAAAGTAACAACATTGGAATCATAGGAGTCCCAAAAGATGAAGAGAGAGAAAAGGGGACAGAAAGTATTATGTGAGCAAATTATAGTGGAAAACTTTTCCTAATCTGAGAAAGGACACACACATCAAAATCTGAGAAGCACAGAGGACTCTGATTAGATTCAACAAAAATCAACCATCACCAAGGCATATCATAGTTAAATTCACAAAATACACAGACAAGAAAAGAATTATGAAAGAAACAAGGGAAAAAAGTCCTTAACCTACAAGAGAAGATAGATCAGGTTTGCAGCAGATATGTCCACAGAAACTTGGCAGGCCAGAAAGGA